AATGTCTTAAATAATCCACTTAATAGAATCCACAATATCACAATGCTTGGTGTCTACAAGGTATATTATAATGTATAAATAGGCAATATTTTACTTCAATAAAATAAATATGAATAGGCTCTTGAATGTTTTAATAAGGTTATCGAAATCAACCCCAGTTTCAGTTATGCCTACTTCTAGAAATGTTTAATAAATAGTTATAAATAGGTTTTGCTTTATTTAAATAAATGAAATACTATGATAGTCTTAATTAAATAGATATATGTATTTAAATGAAACCTAATGTAAAAAGGTATTAAAATGTAAAAAGTATAAATAATAAATAATAAATTAGCAATTATTCTATCAAAACTAAATAGAATATCAGAAGCAAGATATACGAGTTTAAATGCATCAGGATTCATTAAATTTATAAAATCTAAAAGGTGAATCTTATATATGTTTTACCTTTATATATAACATTTATTTAATGCAAATATTTATTATACAATATAAATGTTAACTAAAAATAATTTATTCTATTGATATTTTTTAAATTATATTAAATATTCAACCACTTTATTTATATATTTCAATTTTAATTAAAATTAATAATATTGATAAGGGAGAATAGAATATAATAAAATATACATAAATATAAACAGTATTCATTTATTATATCCTTAGAATTGAAATAATTTTTCTAATACTACTTTCAATTCATTTGGATTAACAGGTTTTGGAAGAAATGTATTGATACCTAATTTGGAACCTTTAATATAATTTTCCTGGGTATCATAAGCAGAACAAATAACAATTGTAGATTAATTTTATGTTATTTTAAGAATCTAAAAATAAGATATAATAAATTTACTTGCTTACTTGCCTGAAATCCATCCATCCCAGGCATTTCAATGTCCATAAAAATTAATTCATAGATTTAACAATGCTACTGCAGTTTTTGTTTAACTTTTTCTATTGCTTGAAATCCATCAAAAACTGAATCAGCTTCTATATTATAATGTTTAAGCATCATTTTTAAGGCTATTTAATTAAATGGTATATCATCTACAACTAAAACATGAGAACATTTTTAACAAAATTATTTTTATTTTTAAATTTTAGATGACTCTTGATCAAATTCTTAAAAATCTTTACAAGATGAAATAAATTTATGAGGAAAATATTCATGACTGACAGGTAGTAAGATTTCTTATTATATTTCAAAATCATTCAATCTGGAAGTAGCTTTATAAGTCTCTGAATTTTATTCTTAATTTTCTCTATCATCTTAAATTTAAGAAAAAGTATTATTTAATATTTTATCATCACTTTTTAACTTATTGAAAGTATAAAATATTTCAGATTAATTAAACTTTCCAGTTTATAAGGTAAATAAGTTCGAGGATTATTAAAATGAATTTTGGTTAATCTATAAATTTTCAACTTGAAATGAGACTGATGTTCCTTAATATTTTTAAGAATTAATAATTAGTTTATTATCTTGGGCCTTAGTTAAACCTTATACAAGTTTTGCTACAATACTCAATCCTAACCCATTTTTCTTAATTTCTGCATTTTATTTCAAAATCGCACCAAATTCACTGGTATCATATAAACTACTTTAAATCAAATTTAATTATTCTTCAGTAATTCCTATCCCATTATCCTTAACTTCTATGTTTATACAATAATATTCCTTTTTAGTTATGTTTAGATGAATACAACCTCCATCTTTAGTAAATTTTATTGAATTATTTAATAAATTTACTAATATTTATAATATTCTCTACTTATCATTACAAATTTCTAAATCTCCTAAATTTTTTGAAACCAAAATCTTAAATTTAATTTTCTTTAATAACATTTAACATTTATACAATTCTTTTATTTCTTATATGATAAAATCTATTGGAAATTATGTGATATGATAAGAAAATTAATAAGATTATATGGCAGCATAATCTAAAATATCATTAATTTGATGAATCAATAATTTTATTGAATTCTAGGCAATTCCAAGACAAGTCTTAAACTCATCTTCACTTTGGAATTACTAAATAAGATTCAACATATTCTAACAACTATTTAAAGGGGTTCTTAATTCATGAGAGAAAGATTTGATAAGACTATGATGAATAATTTATTCATCTCTAATTTATTAGAATTTATGCTTGTGAGTTATATTTTTAATTATGATGAGAAGTACAGGATTTTCAAAGTCAGTTGTTGGTTAAAAATTAACTTTGCTGCAACTTTAAATTTATGACTAAGATTAAAAGTATTCTTACTATTAAATAGTCATAGAAGTTGGGATAATTATTAGTTTAAGTTTTTTTTAAGAAGTAATTTTATTAATACCTGATTTAAGAAACCATTCATATATAAAAACCTATGACATAAAACTTAAATAATTGTCTCCAAAACTTTATCCTATCATGCTTGAATATTTTTATGGTTATATAATAATATCTAAGACATCAACTGTTATATTTTTTTTCGATAAACTACTAATTATTTCTTTTAAAATTTGATAATGTATTTATTTTTATTGTTATTTTGCCTGAAAAGTATTCTAATCATCTACTAATTAATTTTGCATTTTTGCATTATTCACACAAGTCTTCACTTTTTCTAATACTTTTTCTGTTCCTTAACACTCTAATAACTTTTCACATTTGTTATTCATATAACTAACTTATTAGGATGAATTTAAAATCAAAATTCCTTGAGGGAAAATGTTAAGCAAATTTTAATAGAAGAAAGTCATTGACAAGTCTGATTTATCGAAACTTTTATTTAACTTCTAACAATTAGTCAAATTAGAATATTGTATCAATTTCATCTCACTAGGAAGATCTCTTAAAAATATGCTCATGTTATGTTAAGGGGATTAGTTAATAGATACTTTACTTTATGATTTTATTTAAGGAACTATCTATTCATTTTAAAGTATAGGTGTAGAATCTCTTTCTTCTTTAATTGTTAATTGATATTTTGGATTTTTTTCTTAAAAATTATTTTTAAATGAAATACAAAGTTCAATTGTATACTTTATGAATAATAAACTTAATATCATCAAGCTTTCTAGTTGATAGATATTAAAATCAATTATCAATGTACAAGTTATTCTTATAATTAAATAAAATGCAATTCCTAATTTGCAAATCAAACTATGTTTACATATTGCAATTTTTAAGTAATCCATATAAGTAAAAATAATCAATAAACAATTAGAGAGTGATTATAAATTGTGATTCATCTCCATATGTAAATAGGATTCAAAATATATTATATAATATAACAAGGACACTATATGAATAACAAAATTAAGCCCATATTCTTTTGAAATCAATATTTACTAAAAGCACCTTAAAAAAACACAAGACAATTGCAGTATCAATACTAAATAATTTATTGGCTAATTTAACCATAGAGTGTTAGAAGCCCACCATATACCTTAAACAAAATTTGCAATAAAAATTGAATTCAGCCATATCATTTCCAAGAATTTTCTAACTTTAATTTACAGGTTCATAATGCTGTATTAAATTATATTAAATAATATGCATAAAATACTAGTACATTACTCCTTTAATTCTTAAAATATCTAAACCATATACTATTTTTGACATTTATATTTAACCCTTCTTAATTGGACAAAAGATTTATAAATATGGTGTAAAATCAATAAAAAACAAAAATCTGACTAAAATCCCTCATTTGATAGTGCAAAAAGAAAACTAAAATAATGTCAATACTCTACCTAAGATGTTTAAAAAATAAAAAATTAGGCAATATATAAACTTATTTCAAGATTGTTGATTTTGTCTACTGATACAACAAAAATGAACATAATATTCATAAACTTAGATTAATTTAACAACTAAAACCATAAAAGTTTGAAATTAAAAACCTCTAATATTTTTGTAATTTTTTGACTTAAATATCTGTTTAAGATCAAAAATTTACAAAAATTTATTAACTAAACCTAAAGAAATTATCTTTTTCCTCAGATTATTGAAAGGTTTTTAGATATGTAAAATTATTGTTTTGAAACATTTTTGTTTATAATACTATTTTAATAAATCTTATTTTTATAATTACAATATTATTTTGATTTAAAGATTGATAATTATAGAGTGATAAGATTAATTCCTGAAATTTTTAAGTCTTTTGTAATTATGTTTACATTTTAATTCAAAATGTTAAGGAATTTCAAATATACAAAAAAATTAAATTCAATACAATTTTATTATGATTAACAATAAATTATTTATTAAAACTTAATCAAATAATATTAATATTAATGTTAATAGTCTCTAAACAGTTTAACATTAGACCTTAAGCTTGTTTGATAATTTTATAGTAATAAGAGATGATGAATCAGAATTAACAATGTTAAAATTATATTAACAATAAATTTTTAGATTGCAATTAAAGCTTTCTTCCATATTTATTCGTTAATATGATTTTAAAAAGAAAAAATTATTGAAGGTATAAATTAATATAATTCTTTAATTACAATAAAAATGCTTCATTATTGAGTCCTTTAAATTAAGAATTCACAAAAAACAAATTAATGAATGCATCATTGATCCATTTTCTTTTATTTCAAACCTTAAAAAAAAAAATGGATTCCAATAGTAATTATTTATAAACTTATTTAAAATTACCTTTGAATCACATAAGATTGTAATATATATGACTTCTGTAACATTTTTTTTAAGGAAGGGTTTATACTTATAATCAAATTTATATAACCATTAAATATTTGTTTCACAATTTATTATAAATATTAATCCGACCCCCTTATATTTAATTAATATTAGCCAAGTTTTTATATTTATTTTTAAATTTAATTATCAATACTTTCTAATAATAGGATGTGGCCTGAGCTTATTATTTATAGACCTGAATTTAATGTAAATTCACAATTTTATGCATTGAAAATGCAAAATCTAATAAAACAAGTAAGTTGAAGAATAAAATAGAAATACTAACTAATTGAATGGGATTCAATGATTTTCACAAATCAAAGAATATAAATTAAGTTCCCATAACTATTCCTTTTTTAATTTATCAATTAGATATTATTGATTCTTCCACTCTTATATAAAAATTTATTAGAGTTAAGAAAATAAATAAAATTTTCTAATTGGTTTATAATGAGTATAGGTTTAAGAATGATTGAAATATTAGAATAATTACATAATAAAAATATTTTACATTTGGATATAAAACCAGAAAATATAATGATTTGTTAAGAATTTAAAAATGAATAGGATATTTTAAAATATGGATTTATTTAATTAATTGATTTTGGTTTATCATAACAATATTAAGAAAATTCAGAATCATTATAAGATATATTTATAGGTTCATTTAATTTTGCAAGTAGATCATCTCATTATGGTCAACCACTTGGATTTAAAGATGATTTAGAAAGTTTATTATATGTATTACTTTATTTAAAAGATTCAATCTCAAAATAAAATACTTCCCTCGAGATCACAGAGGAGAAATTAGAAGATAGAGAATCTTTTTACTTCAAATTTGATTGGAAAATATATGATACATTAAGTTAAGACAAAAAAAGATTTTTATTTTTAAAAGATAGCTTTATCTAATTATAATCATTAATTTATCTTAAAAAACTTTTAATATTTATAATCTTTTTTCCAAATGATCCACAGTCATTTTATTTAAATTGCTATATTTTTCTAAATTTTTGATGCTTTCAATATTCTCTAATTGTTATTGATGTTCTAAAAATTTGATCATGATATTTGATTATTATTTAACTTATTTACCTTAATTTAAAGTCTTTACTATGAATGTTAATTTTTTAAATTTTCCCATATGCCATCATTAGAGTGAAAATTATTATTGAATGACATAATGCTTTCATTTAATTATGTTTATAAGTTTTTTTGTTTATATATTATATTTTAATTTAGGTTTTAAGAAGTGAAATAGTTAGAAATAATGTAGATGAAATAGCATCTTTGATTTATTAAGATTTATTGATGCTTGAGAATCTTATTAAATGTAAAGTATCATTCTAATTAATATAATATATTTATAATTAAAAATAGTGATATTTTTTCGAATCATTCTATTTTTATGTTTAAATATTTATAATTGATTATAATATTGATTTTAAATTTATTATTAATGAAAAAATAACAAATTAAAAATCAATCGTTAGAATTTTCAATTATTATTCTTATTTTAGTGGATTAAGATATTAGTTTTAAATTTTAATGATTGTTAAGATATTGATTAATTTTTTAATCCATTAGTCTATTTAAATAATTAATCCTTATCAAAAAATCCGTATGTAAAATTTACTAATGTTAAATATATGGTATTTTATCCATTAGTATTTCTTTCTATGGTGTTGTTATATTATTCAAAAACTTAAAATGATTAATTAATTATTGAATTAATTCTAATTGGTTGTGTTTTTTTGATTTACTTTAGATAAAGGTGTTCTTGCTCTTTAAAATATTCTTTACGCAATCCTTCTCTAAAGTTTGTCTTAATAACGAATTCAATTAATCAAATTTAATACAATAATATTAGTAATTGTTAATTTATATTCATCTCTATATATTAAATTATATAATTATCTAATTACAATTATGATTGTTTATTATGGAACAACTACTATTTTAATATATATAATAACAAATAAATATGAGAATAATAGAAAAAGTATATTATTTCATTTAATAAACTCATGTTTTCCTTTATTAGTAAAGTTTAATATTTTTATTGTCTATTGGAATTTCATTAATATTTCCTTCTATCTATTTAATTGGTATGTATTCGCTATCTAAATTTAAATCTGATTAAGATTATCGTTTTTGAGTAACCTGATTTCTTTTGACTTTTTAAAGTTCTTTTTCTTTTTCTTCTTGATTTTTGAAATTCACCTTAAGTTATTTTTCTTCTCTAACTTTATCTTTTCCTTTAAAATTTATAATCCTCATTTTTTCTTCTTGTTTTGTTTCTACAAATTAAGATAATCCCTTTTTTTATTTGATCTATTATTGTTATTATTCCGATTCGATACCAATTTTTTCTCTTTTTCTTTAATCTAAGAATTGCTTAACAAAATAAATTGCTAAAATAATCAATAACAAAGTTGTAGTTGATAATGAAAATATTAGTCCATATAAGTAATTATTTGTAAACAATATCAAAATTGCACCAATGTATACCTAAATTTATTATAAAATTTTACAGAAAAAACTATAATAAATAGAAATAGTTCAATCATATTGAANAATTTATTATTAATGAAAAAATAACAAATTAAAAATCAATCGTTAGAATTTTCAATTATTATTCTTATTTTAGTGGATTAAGATATTAGTTTTAAATTTTAATGATTGTTAAGATATTGATTAATTTTTTAATCCATTAGTCTATTTAAATAATTAATCCTTATCAAAAAATCCGTATGTAAAATTTACTAATGTTAAATATATGGTATTTTATCCATTAGTATTTCTTTCTATGGTGTTGTTATATTATTCAAAAACTTAAAATGATTAATTAATTATTGAATTAATTCTAATTGGTTGTGTTTTTTTGATTTACTTTAGATAAAGGTGTTCTTGCTCTTTAAAATATTCTTTACGCAATCCTTCTCTAAAGTTTGTCTTAATAACGAATTCAATTAATCAAATTTAATACAATAATATTAGTAATTGTTAATTTATATTCATCTCTATATATTAAATTATATAATTATCTAATTACAATTATGATTGTTTATTATGGAACAACTACTATTTTAATATATATAATAACAAATAAATATGAGAATAATAGAAAAAGTATATTATTTCATTTAATAAACTCATGTTTTCCTTTATTAGTAAAGTTTAATATTTTTATTGTCTATTGGAATTTCATTAATATTTCCTTCTATCTATTTAATTGGTATGTATTCGCTATCTAAATTTAAATCTGATTAAGATTATCGTTTTTGAGTAACCTGATTTCTTTTGACTTTTTAAAGTTCTTTTTCTTTTTCTTCTTGATTTTTGAAATTCACCTTAAGTTATTTTTCTTCTCTAACTTTATCTTTTCCTTTAAAATTTATAATCCTCATTTTTTCTTCTTGTTTTGTTTCTACAAATTAAGATAATCCCTTTTTTTATTTGATCTATTATTGTTATTATTCCGATTCGATACCAATTTTTTCTCTTTTTCTTTAATCTAAGAATTGCTTAACAAAATAAATTGCTAAAATAATCAATAACAAAGTTGTAGTTGATAATGAAAATATTAGTCCATATAAGTAATTATTTGTAAACAATATCAAAATTGCACCAATGTATACCTAAATTTATTATAAAATTTTACAGAAAAAACTATAATAAATAGAAATAGTTCAATCATATTGAACCAATCAATAAGGCATGGTTTCATCCTTAAATAAAAGATTATAATAAAAAGCATTATGCAGGAAGCAAAAATTAATTAAAATGTAAAAGAATTAGAGTCAAAATTTGCAAATAAAGAACTTAATCCAAGTATTAAAAGTTTACATTAAACATAAACAACTAAATAAGTAGATCTATATTTTAAATCTAATGAATGATCATTAAACTAAAAAATAGGTTGCATATAAGTTGTTAATGGATAATAGATGCTTACTCCTAAAAATGCTAATCCCATATATATATAATGCTAATCACTTAAACATTCTACAGAATTATCTCTAACCAAGACGTAAGTAACTGATCCAGCAACATCATAATCACAAACAAAAGCATCTATAAATGATTTCATTATTCTTAGGAATAATCCATTTAAAATTTATATGGCTTTTGTCAAATACCATTATGGATGAGTATAACTTGCTGGTAATCCATTCACTGTGTTTTGGCCAAAAGTATTTTATTTTACATGATAAATAGCTATTCTTCCTAAAATTCCATATAAAACAGAAGCAAACAGAGAAGCATAGAAGTAAAATGCATATGAATCATAAAATGCAGCTCCATCAACAACATCTTGCCCTTAGACATCTGATTAAGAATTAGAACCAAACCAAGAGACATTACTATTAAATGTCAAAGCTGCTAAACCATATACATCAAAAAGTCTTGTAGTAATTGCAATGATATTACTCACAGTAGATCTGAACTATTTAACAACTAACTTTTTTTTTTATTACTCTTCATAATTTTTGATTTATTTAAAGAGTTCTTCAATAGCGCCTTTTGCTACTTGTTTCCAATCTCTCATTTCTAATCTAGCTTCATTAACCCTTTATGCCCAACCTTTTCTAACTGGTTTTTTTTTTTAATCTTCAAAACCTCCTAAAATTAATTTCCAACATGATCCTAATATTTAACAAAAGACTAAATTCAGAAATCTGAAAAAGCTATAACAACACTTTTTACAACAAGATAATTTATTATTATATTATTGTTCTATTTCCTAAACTTTCTCTGCATATTCAAAATTAAGTTATTTTCTTGATTTTTTTGGAAATTTAATGCTATTTGCCCTTTTGATTTGGTTATTTTGAGTATCTTAAATATCATTTATTTGAAGTAATAACATACTTTATTCTTCCTAGACTTCTTATTTAGTTTTTTTTTTTATATCAAAATTTTCTTAGCAAAAAGGGTATAATTTTGGATCAAGTGCATTATTGAGAAATAATCTATTGGTTTCTTTTAAATTACTATATAAGGATTTTATTGATTTAATCAAACCAGGATAAATTTTAGTTAATGTTAATTACTTTAGTTATTAATATTTATCAACAGAGTTATTTGGCAAAGCAGATTTAAGTAAATTTGCAAAATCAGATTCACTTAAAGTATAAGTTTAATGTATCCATATTTGTTTAGCATGAGTTGTATATTCTGAGATTCCAAAATTTAAATCTGTTAATCTACAAAATTCTTTAAAATCATTATAACAAATTGAAGGAGGGAGTCCTTCCTCTTAATTACTAAATTCCATAAACACTTCATGCATGAATTATGGAAATAAATTATTATCCTGTTATAATGATTAATAATAATCAGTAGATGTTATCTTGCTTGTTGCTTTACTTGATAAATCTTTCCTTTCTAATTTTCTAAATTTTTCAGTTTTTGAGGATACTAACTATTCAATATCAATATGTTATTATTTTTAAGCCAATATTTAAGCAGTTGGCTCTAATTCAAAATTTAAAAGTAAGCCTGTTCTTTCATTATCATCCATTAATTTATAAACATTCGAAAATTCTGGAATCAATTATTCCATAAATTAACCCTATTCTTCATCCATTTTATAGATATCTCTAAGTTATATAATTTCATTTTCTTTATCTTTTTCTAATTATTCAATTTCTTCTAGACCACATTTACATTATAAACATTCCCAAAACATCATCAAACATTTATTTTTTTTTTTTTCCATTTGTTCTATTTTTTTAACTTCTATTGACTTTATAAATTTCTCATAATTAAGTTTTGAAACTAATTATTTATTGCATTCTAAATCTTCTCCTAAATATTCTATAGGACCAACAGGTTTATATTAATTAATTAAATCCTCAATTAATATTTATTTAATTTATTATTTTTGATTGAATTCCATACTATTTTTATCTTAGGGTCCTTTTTTCTGATCTTTCTTAAATTTCCTTTCTATTATATTTCCTATAATTAAATATCTCATATAAATTAAAGAACATACAGCCATGTCACTAAGAACATGTTCTTTATAAAAATAAGCTATCAATCCTTCAACAATAAATCTTTTTTTTCTTTCAAATTCTTCTTTATTTAGTAAAATAGAAAAAAAGAGTGAAGTACCAGTAACTCCAAATATGCAGATAAACAAACCACTTGCAACAGCAACTTAGGCAAATGTTTAAAAATTTTCTGAAGTGTTAATAAATTCAATTGATAACATAGGCACAATGACACCAAATGGAAAAATGATGCAACACCATAACAATGAACTTACAAAAGCTGAGAAAAAGTTTTCATATGCTTCTGATTGATTCTTAATATATGTCAAAATTTTATAAATCAAAAATATCAGTGGCAATCCAAAAGCTAATGCTAAAAAGAAAGTTGAATAGATTTCATTTGACATCATTATACCTATTGGTGTCAATACTGCAATAGGACAAAGCATGCCAGCAAGTACAGTATAATTCTATATTTTAAGGGCGTTTAATTTTTTTTCATTTTCAATTTATTCAATTCTTTCCATCTCAATATTAGTAATTTCAAAATCTTTTTTTATTTCTAATGATCTTCCTGATAATGCTAAATTGGTTAAGAAGAATAAAATTGGATGCATTATTAATAAACTGAAAATAGTTCCAATTTCTACATTTGTTGGTTTATATTGATCATCAAATTCTTGAGAAAACCAAAAGAATTCACCCAAGAAAAATATTGATAAAAGAAAGAATGCAGCATTAATCCATAAACCATAAGGAGTTAGATTATAATAAGCGTATTCTCCAAAGTTAGGAAAATCATCTTCAGTTATTTATTTAACTCTCCAAACAGCTTTTATAGATAATATGATAAAATAGGCAAAAATAATAATCAAAATGATTGCTCCTATTCCTACTAACACATAACTAGTATACAATAAAGTTCCATCTTCTGATTCATAATAAAGTGGAATCAATACTCCTAAAGGAAATGCCAAAAAGAAACAGAGAAATCCTAATGAATACATTTGTAGTTTTCTTTTTTCAATACCAATCATACTTATTGTTAACCAAATAGTAAATAAAAATATTGGTCCATAATAAATAGCATCTCCTATAGATAAAACTAAATCCTTAGTTGTAGAATGTGAATCTAAATAAAAGTATAATTTCAAAAAAGAAAATATGATAGGAGCTCCTAAAAATAATGGAATGTATAAAAGTGTTTTTGATAATTCTCTATTTGTGATTGAAATGAAAACACCTAAAAATAAATAAATAGGAACTATTGTCACTTCAAATGCTAAAGTCATAATTTCACTGTAATTTGAAAACTCATTTTAAAGTATTGTTGATAATTTTAAAAACAACCAAATCTCAACAATAAAATAAAATATTCCAATCATATATGAGATTATTCTTACCTTATTCTTTTATATCCAAGTTAAGGCCTATTATTAAGTTGTTTCAGATCGAATGTACTTTTTTTCAAGCATATATTTTAGTCTATCAATTGCTGTTTATATAACATCTTCTGGCCAATCAAACAATCTGGCTTTTATAATAAACCATGAAAATATTAAAATCAAGAGCAATGGTATATACAGTTAAGACAGAATGTAAGTTATCAAATCTTCAAATACTAGTTAAGATGTAACAATAACATATTCTAAAATGTAGTATCCAACTAAGAATATACAAAATAAGCACCAGAAGTTGACAACCATTGCTGCAAATAATTCTTTCATAAAACTTCTCAACCATATGTATAATTATGAGACTATAAATCCATTTAGCATAATCAAAACAATGAAAATTAGAATAAAAATCATTGAAATATCATAATTGGCTGCTGAATTCAAATTAAGTAACTAAATTCAATAATAAATTATACATTTAGATAATTATTACTAAGGAACCATAAAGGGAGCAGCACTCCCAAAAATGTAATTATTAAGACTATCCAAACTTATTTTATCATTATTATTCTAAAACTTATTATTTATAATTACATTAGAGTATATATTGTAAATAATGCTCCTAATCCTGCTAGATTATACACAATAATCTATTTATTTGCATTTGCTTGTACTTCAGATGAATTTTATAAATCCTGAAATAGTTTAAATAATTACTAAAGTTTGGACTAAGAACACCACATAAATAATCAAATAAAAAACCCAAATTAGCACATGATAATGGGTTATCTCAAAACCTCCATTAAAAAATCTACATTTAGCAGCAAACCATTTTTCTAATTAATTATTAAATGTTATTATTTTATTGATCCAAATATATTTAGGATTACTTTCTCTTTCTTCTACAAGTTAGAATAAATCTTAAATATAAGGATGATCAGGTCCAACATATGAGTATTCTTTCCCTCCTATTGTAAATTTTTTGGTAATTTTTGGAATTGGTTGAAAGGTGCTTGATTATATTTTAGAAACTTACTTTGATCTTGCTAAAGAAGGTTTTGAAGAGAGGTCATCACGTAAATTTTATTCCTCATTTTATTATATAGGATTTGGTGATTACATTAATAGTAAAAATATGAGAGTAATTAATATTAATAAATAATCACAATCTATTATTATATACCCCAGAACTCATTCCTATTAAAATTTTTGTTTTCTTTTTATTGAATCTTTTAATTAGCTTCTTTATAAAATTTAATTTCTTCATCTATAAATTCATATTTTTATTCCGAAAGTTATTTTCTATTAATCTTCTATTTTATTATCTTTTTCTTTTTCAAAATATAATTTAGTTTATTATTCTTCATATTGTGGATTTTAACTTCGGAACCAATAAAAAATTATAAAAATAACAAGAGTAAAGATTTGGCATTCAAGAATATTTAATATTATTTTGATTAAAATAATTCATCATCACATTTCATGATCTGATTCAGAACTCTAACTTAAATTTAACACATTTTCATATGGAACAAGTTTCTTATATATTTTATCCATATCATATGAATTATCCAAGATTTTTGTAAATGCTTCTTGTCCTTCATTTTCAATAATTCTCTATTTTCTTATTTTTATAGCATTTAGTAACTTAATATTATTATTAAATTATACTTATTGATCATCTTTACTAGAAAATTTAGTAAATAAGGAATCATAAGAAGAGTAACATTTAACTTTGTAATCCCTTATTTTTCTTAAATAATCTGCTTATACTTATATATTATTTTCTTATTTTTCAACATTTTCTGATAATATTAATAATAATTTACAGTTATCAGTTACTTCAATATTAGATAAACTCTAAGATTTATTCATTTAATAAGCATTTTAAAATGTTTATAATTCTTCTTCTAATTTAATTTTCTTTTATTTTGCAGTTTCCAAATTTTATTGTTATTCTGATAACTATATTTCTAATTCACTTTTTTTTTCAATATTTGCCATAAAATCAAGAAAATTATTTGAATGACTATAATTTTATTCTTTTATATCAAATATTCCTTTAATTTAAGCATATTTTTTCTCAAATTATTCTAGTTTTTCATGAATATTTTTAGTATTTTTTTCCTATTATTATTTGAATTTCTTATTTTATTATAGATCATTTTATTTTGCCTAATTTCTTCTTAAATTTTAAACTGACTCTAAAGCTGAATCCTAAATATAAGCATCAGCTAATAAATTAATAATAGAGTATGAATACCTGATTAAAAAAGATGATCTAAATTTTTTTTTTCTAATAAAGAATTCCTAATTTAATTAATTAAATTTCCTTAATGTTTCTTTTTTTGATTATAAGTCATTAAAAAATCATCTATTGTTCTATAAAGTGTTTTTATTTGTTATTTATTTTTTGAGATTTCTACTTCTTCAAATCTAATTAGTTTCTTAAAATTATTAATCAATTATTATAAATGCTTAAAATAAATTAATTATTAATTACTCTAATATATTCTTCATTCTATTATTTATTATCCTTACATATTTTCAAAATAGTAATTACTCTTACTTTTTAAATACTACTTGTTTTATATGATTATTCAGCCTCTTATAATTATTTTTCAAGTTCAATCTTTGTTTCTTTTAATTCCTCTAAATTAGATAATTCCTTCTTTATATAACCTTTATTAAAATCTATTATTTTTTATTATTTAAGTATCTTTGCCATTTTTAAATTCTCATAAGTTAATGTATCTAATTTCTTTCTCATTTATTTTGCTTATTATTCTAATAAATGCAATTATTTTTAAGAATGTTTTTATATATCTGTTTTAAGAATTGGAAATATCTCAGTTTATTAATATGCATTTAATGAAAGTGAAGATGATTAAAAAGATTTTAATCTACTTTTTTATGATTTAAATTTATCCAATAATTTAACTGTATTTTATCCATCATTTGGTCTATTTTCTATAGGTATTTTAATTTGTTTAGATTCTTAATTAAGAGTATCTAAATCAGTAAAATCTTATGTTATAAACATTGTTCTTTCATATTTTTCTTAAGACTAATTAACTGTTGAAGCATTAATACTATCAATCCTTGGTAGAATAGCTTTACTTCTATCAAATCTGCTGCCTTATGTATTATCAAATGTGTATTCAAGTTTTACAGGTTAAGGCTGATTTAAAACACTAGTTTAAGGAATCAAGATAATAGATTATTATTATTCTTCTGGTTCAGTTTCATACATTAATTTTTTCTTTAATTTAGCTTCAATAGCTATTTTTAAAGCAGCTAAATAATATAATATTGAATTTACAGTTTGTATAAGCATGTTCTTCTTCAACACTCATATAATCAGTGGCAGAAGAGAAACAATGTTTAATAGTTTTAGAATAATCACATTTTTTACTAATACTTAAACATGCCCAAGGGAATTATATCCAAATCCATCTTTTATAATAATAATCTGATGATATTCTATCACCAGTAATCTCTTCTTCACCAGACAATTATTCTCTTTTGTCTGTTAACAATTTTTATAGTATTTTTTACATTTAATATTTGTATTCTTCAATATCTAATGTTTAAATGGTTTCCTATTCATCAGGTTCTGTTTCATTAGTTTTAATCATTTATGATAAATAATGATTTCTGACTTCATATCTATTTTATTGTATTTCTACATTTTATGATTCCATTTTAGTAAGAGCTGGTATTTTAATAGCTTTGGCAACTCTTTTTAAATGTTTGGCAGGGTCAAATTATTTTAATTCTGGATCTTTATTAAAATATAAATCTAATTTCAATATTTCTTATAACAATCCTATATCATATAAATCTTATAAGACTCCAATAATAGGAGGATGCCTAAAAACAGGAGTATTTTTGGTTTCAAAATCTCCAAATTCTTTAAGAAATCTTGAAACTTAAATAATAATTCTAAAGAGATCTTCTGCACTTGGATGATAATGTATTTGAAAACCTTCTACTGCTTTATTATATTCTAATACAGGGTCAAATCCATTTTCTTCTAGTTTTTACCAATATCTACAAAGATCATATTTATTATTAGGATTGAATAATAATAAGAAATTTTCAATAATACTTATAACTTCTTTTAATTTGAAATAATTTTTAGCTGAAAATAAATGAAATGTTTCTTCTTCTAATTTTCTAATAGAATTATTAGTATATTTATCAATTGTTTCTGCAATTTTATCATGTAATTATAATGTTTTATCATTGTGATAACAATTAATAACACATTTTTTAAATATTTCATTATGAATAATCCATAATTCACGATGTTTCATAAGGAATATTTTAAAGAAAAGTAAAAATAATTTCCATTATTTTTCTTCAAATTCACAAACTGATTGAATTTCTTTATAAGTCAATCCTTTTTAAGTAATAGCTAGAACAGTAATTAGTTAAATAAACTTTGGATCTTATTTTAATTCAGGTGTTTTAGGAGTAAAAATAAAGCTTTCACTAAAGAATTTTAATTAAAATGTAAATAATTCTTCAACTGTTCTAAAATGTTTAATCTACTATAAATTTAATTCTTTTAATATGTTTTCAACAGTATCAATATCAATATCCTTAAGTTCTACTAGACCATCTGTTGGATAAGGTAAAAATACTGTCATAAAACTTCTTACAAAGAGTGGTTAATTTCTAACTTTGTAATTTAATTGAATAAATAAATCTTATATTGTTTATACTCTTTAATCAGACTATATTAATATATATTAAGAATACTAGAAATGATTATTTTCCAAAATGACCATTAACCATAGTTTTAATTACTTTAGGATCACATGTAATAGGAATAACATGACAAGAAGGTTTGAGTATTCTCATAGAATTAGAATTTTTCTCAGCAGTTACAATAACTTTAATGTTTTTTGGAAAATATTTAGGTAACCAAAAGGAAACATTAGCTTCTCTATGTACATCTAACATATCTCTAAAATTATCTATTCCTTCAAATATCAATATCACCTAATATAATTTAGATATGAAATACTTTATCATAAATAATTTTAGCTCCATTTAAGAATTATTATTCTAATTCTCTACTACATATTTCTAACCAATAATGAAAGTATCTACGAAGCTTCTCTTCTACTAATTCTACTTTTTATTTGATATTGAGAGTCTCTCTTAATTTAATTAATATTCGGTAAATTGCAAAGAAATAATTACTATTTTTGCCAGATTAGGTAGCAAAATGAGGAATGATATAATCTTAATAACGCTATGATTAATTTTATTATTACTCCTTTTTTATTTTTAGCATGATATTCCATCCATTTAACTAACAGAGTTTTTTTACCAATTCCATCATCTGCTTCCAATACTAATGGAGTGTTTTAATGCAATGATTTCTCTTCATCTAGCCAATCTTCAATTTCTAAAAAATAACGATCCAAACCAGAAGCAGTTCTAAAATCAATTGTATAAGTTACTAATTTTTGTAATATTCTACAGCTACATCAGATGAACTTAAAAATCAATATATATATGTACTCTATGTAATTCATATTCTCATTCCTCATTGATTCTATTGTTGTTTTCTTATCTTTTGGAGATGTTGGTCTATTTGAATAAGCGTCGTCCATTTTATATTTAAATTAATGATTGACGAAAGTTTTCTTCTAAATGAAAATGAAGAATTTGGAGAATAACTCCTTGAAGATTTTACAATCTTATAAAAATTAGGAATGGGTGCATTTAGTAAAGTCTATAAAGTTTTGTATTAAGATTAAATCTATGCTTTAAAAGTATAGTTCATATTTTTATAGGTTGTTGATAAATAATTGGCTACTGGAAATAATATTGTAGAAAAGCTCAATCAAGAAGCTTATATACTTAACACTTTAGAGCATCCAAACATAGTTTAATACTACAAGACAATTGAATCAAAGAGGAAACTTTATTTTCTTATTGAATATATTGAAGGTAAATCACTTTAAGAGTATATTGATTAATCATTGACAGACTCTTAAATAAGATAAATTATATAATAAATCATATATGCTATTGCATATATTCATAAAAAAGGTATAATTCATAGAGATTTAAAACCTGGTATTAAAATTATTATATATAGACAACATTTTGATTGATAAAGAATGGAATGTGAAAATCATTGATTTTGGATTGAGTTTCCAAACAATAAAATCTACTACTCATGAAACATGTGGAACATTAATTTATATGGCACCAGAAGCATTAATGAAAAAGGAATACTTCAAATCAGTAGATATATGGAGTCTTGGAATTATACAATATATGATGTTTGCAAATTGTCATCCCTTTTGGACCGATGATACAAGAGAGACATATTTAAAGAAAATGAAAACTCCTTAATTTGCATGTTATCCTTAAAATATGAGCAAGTTCAAAATTGGCATAATCATAGAATAGAGCGGCCATATCATTTTTTGAAAAAACTGCTGCGTGGGAACCTGAAGCTAGACTTACAGCAGAATAAGCATTGATTCATCCATGGATTAGTGGTGTAAATAGTCAAATGCCAATGTCATCAAAAGATATAATCTAAACATTTAAATGTTAAAATGAATTCCATCAAGTAATTTAATATAATAAATTAAGATGATAAAAATGTTGATGATACTTAAATTAATATAAAAATTGAGTTAAAAACGTGATGTTTTATAAATACAATAATTTAGAGCTCACTCTTAATTTTAAAATAATTTACAACCTTTGATAATTAGTTCAAGAAATCCAAGTTCTTAATAAAAATTAAAAACAGAAACTTAATAATTACAACCACCTTTATCTGCTCATAGAACTACACTATCAAGAATGCAAAATAATTCTTCATTTCTTAGTTGTTAAGATGTATTTTTATTTTACAATTAGTAACCAAGAGAGGATGTGAGATTAAAATAGATGAAAAATAAATAGTAATAATTTAAATTACCTCCCATAAATGCCAAATCTGCTAACAATTCACCTTATAATAATAAATCTCAATAAATGTTTACTTTCAGTCCATATAAGAAAGTACAGCCTACTGGAGAGCTTAAGAAGTCATAATTTAAATTATGAAATATAATATTTTATATGTCTTTTTTAAAGAAATTATTCACAAAACCAACAAAAGAAAAAGAAACTTAGTAGGTTCAACATAATATCAATTAAATTTATAATACTTAACCATTCTAAAGGAAATCAAATCCAATCTATAATTATAATTGTATATATAGGATTGAATAATTCGAAATAATTCTTGAATAATAAATTATAGACCTTGAACAATTAAAATAATTAACTTGGAGAGGTGCTCCATAAGGTAATTTATAATATTATAAAAGTTTATAGAGCAAAAGTTTGGAAATTAATATTGAAATACATTCCACCTAATCATATGAGTTAAACTAATGTAATTTAGAAAAAAAGACAAGATTATTTTCAATATATAAAAAACTATTATGAATAAATTCATGAGAGAGATGAAAGTGAAGAAAAAATAATTAAAATTATATCAAATGATGTATTACGAACATAACCTGATTTTCAATTGTTTAGAGATCCTAAGATCTAGAACCTATTTAAAAGATTACTATTTATTTGGAGTCAAAGACATCCAATGAGTGGGTACTTTATTTCTATAAGTAGTTATGTATAAGGAATAAATGATATAGCATCTCCATTAATAGCTGTTTTTCTTAATGAATATGTTAGAGTAGATTATAATAAATTTGATTTACCTTCTGATTTTCATAAACTTCCAGATGATATACTTCTTGATATTGAAGCTGATATATATTGGTGTCTTTGCAAAATCATCGAAAATATATAAGATTATTTTATCCATAATTAACCTGGTGTATCATTAGCATATGAAAAAATTAAAAATATACTTAATACTGTAAATTATTTCTTTTATTTAGATTGATCCAACAATTTTAGCTTACTTTCAATAATAATAAATAGATTTTAATCATTTTGCTTTCAGATGGGTTATCTGTTTATTAGTACGAGAATTCCCTCTATATTTAGCAATTAGATTAATGGATACTTACCTTTCTGAAGGAGATAATATGGCTAATCTTCACATCTACACTGTTTCCAATATGATCCTTAAATGTGGACCTGAAGTATTATTTTAATTAGAAATCTAGATTAAAAATAAAAATATGGGGGAAGCTGTCATCTTTTTATAGAACCTTCCTACTAAAGATTGGACAGAATTAGATATTGAAATGCTTTTGTAAGAAGCCTATGTTTTTAAAGAATATATGACAAATAAACAAAATTTGAATTAATCCATGACTCCAACTTAATCAAATCGAATTTCCAATAAATGAAGATAAATTCTCTTTATTAATTTTAATTAACGAAAAATATATCTATGTAACCATTGTATTGCCAATCTCCAAAATAACCTATTAAGAAAGACTCTTGTTTGCATCAATTCTAAAAATTGCTCTCTGAATCCCTCAATCGCAAATAAGCTATATAAAATAAAGAAAATACTAGGAGTAGTTTTCAAATGAGAAGCTATAGCAAATTATTATCACCTCCTAATCGTTCTATCCCAAATAATAATTAACTCAACCAAGAACTCAAAAAAACATTGAATAGAGTCAAATCTATACTAGATAAAGCTTACTAAGAAAATTTAGTTTTGAAATGTGAAAAAAGAGAATTAATACAATTATTATAAGAGAAAAACTAATTGATTGAAAAATTATAATAGAAAAAATCAATAAGTCAACATTGCTGAATTATGCAATTACATTTGTAATACTATGAATATATATAATAATATATATATAATGAATAAATCAAATACTAAATCACCTACTCTTGGAATATAGTAATAAAGTTTATCAGCTGAACCTAAAGAAATCAAAAAACTTAGAACAACTTTAGATTATTCATTTAAAGAAATTAAGAAACTAGAAGGTATATTTATATATTGTAACTACTATCTAAGAATTAAAAAATAAAGAAGTTAAACCTAGAGAAGGTGAATAATGGATATTTAAAGAATAGAAGAAGTAAGAAAATTAAGAAGTAAAAAATGATACTCCAAAAGAATAAGTACTCAAATAATAATAATCATTACCTGAAGAAACAGAGCCAATTTAACCATAATAATAATAACCTTAAAAATAATAAGACAATAAAAAAGGTAATGCTCCATAACCACCTCCTTCTTAATTGATTCCTTAAACAAATGTTGCAACATAATTAATTACATTATAAAATATACCATTAAATGGAAAAATAGTTGGTGGTAAATTACAAGAAAATAAAAATCAAAGTCAATAATCTAAATTTAAACCAGAATTATGTTGTTAATCATTGATCTTATGTCAAAATAAATTAACAAGTCTTAATGGATTTTATTAGATCATGTAGACAGTTATGCCTAATGTTGAATTACTTAGATGGATTGATTTATCATATAATCAATTGACTACTTTAGATTATAATTTTAAAGAATTGCCTCATTTATAATCATTATATATCAACTTCAATTAGATTAAGGATATCAATGAATTAAAATAAGTATTTATATATTTATTAATAAAACAGTTGTCACATTTATAAGAGCTTAAATCTCTAAAAATATATGGAAATCCAATTGAATAGATTATCAATTTCAGATTATATATAATTGATGTACTTCCATAATTGAAAAGGATAGACTCTGTCCTAATTAGTAAAAAAGTATTAATTATATATTTAATTCTAGGAAAGAGATAATTCATCCATGATTGTAAAAGTTTTTGATTTTAAACCTTAAATGAAAGCATAAGCTGATAAAGAGAAATTGTTATTATAATAAACTTAAATAACATAATAAAAATCGAAATCATAACAAAAAAAGAAAAAGTGATAATTTAATATGTTCTAATATATTGATAATTATACAAGGGAAAAGAGTAATCAATAATTTTTATTAAGATTTTTTCTTTTTAAATGCTATTCCATTTTTAAATTATCTTATTTAATTACTTTAATCTAAAAATAAATATAATATTATTTTACTCTTGCTTTAATATCTTATAGATCTTAATCAGTATATTCTGAATCATTGATAACCTATTATAATCTTTCATTTTCTTCAATCAATAATTAAATTTTCTCATTTAAATCTGCATATATATTTTCTTCCATTTTCTATTAATAAACCTATTCAACCTAATTATATGTTAATTTAAAATGTTCTTCATCCATTTTTAATTATTATTAATTTTTATTTAGATTCTCTATTTCATTTTTCAATCTGGCTATATCAGAAATCATTTGAAGATTGGAATTTGTAGATAATTATTGATTCAATCTATCATTTTCTGTAATTAAATTCTAAACCTTATTTTCTAATTCAATAACTAAATCTTTAATTTAAGAATCATCATTTTAATCTAATTTATTTTGTAATTCATCACATTTTTATTAATATTATTATTATTCTAATTTAATATTCTAAAGTTATTATGATGTTTGTTTACGAATTTATTAAGATTTTTCTAAATTTTCCTTCATTCTTATAATATCTGTTTATTCTATTAAAGATTAATTTTCAAATTACAATTTATCATTTAACTATTTTAATAAATTAATTTTTTATTCTAATTCTTAAATAAATTATGAAGATTATCCTCTTTATATTTCACTTTCTATCTATTAAATAGTTTATTACAATAAATTATTAGAATCTTATAATTATTTAAACTCATTAAATAAATTTGGATTACTATAATTTATTGGTTTAAGTTATGATTATGATCCTTTATTATTATTATAATAAATAGGAGTATTTATTAAATTATAAGGTTGAGGGGATTGTACAATAGTTGTTTATTGTGTTTATTTTGGAGACTAAAAAATGATAGAGTTATCACGATTTTATGCAGGACTCATGCAAACAAATTGTTTAGTTGGATTAATAAATTAAGATAATTATGTTTCATTAATTGAATCGTTTTTTTTTTCATTTTTACCTCCAACTTTAAATTATATTGAGTAATCATGTGATTAGTTAGGATTTATATTAGATTTAGAATTACTGTATTATAATGACTATATAATAATATTAATAAATTACAGGAGGTTTATCTTAATGACTTGAATTAGATGCTCTTTTAAGATATTAATTATAGTATGGATTGGTTGCAATTGATGTATTTTTATTGATAGTATCTATATCAGTACTTGCTTTGTGATGAAATTTATTAGGTGGCATTTATGTATTTTAAGTATTTTCAATGCTTTAAAAAGGTGATCTTGATTAATATTGATTATATTTTAAAGATTGTTATTATGGTTCTAATTTATTAAGGATTAAATTTACATGATGGATTCCTTCTTCCAACTTAATATTGTTACATGCTAACAGCCAAAATTTTAATTATTATTATTTATGAAATTAAGAAAATTAGGATTATCATTATTATTATGTAGTGCTGGATCATATAGTCTTTATTGTAATGAGAAGACTAAATCATATATTTGGGGTAATGGAGTATATTAGGCACTTCCTGGACAAGGTTTAAGTTTCAATAATTTCATTCCAAAATAATTAATTGATTTTGATGATAAGAATTTATAGAAATTATTCTTATCTGAATAATTCGAAAGTGGTATAACAGGAAATGGAGATGGATATATATGGACTGCTCATAAATTAAGTAGTTAAGAAGATAAAAATATAAATGATGGAAAAAGATAGAATATTATTAAAATCAATGTACCTAAAGGTAAGATTAAATAAATTAAATATACTAAATAATTTGTATGGGCATTAACTAATAATGGAGATGTTTTTTAATATTAAGTTAAGGATGGATAATTTATAAATACTCCTAAAAAAATCAATAGTTTATAAAATATCAAACAAATAGAATGTGGAGAAGATCATTTTGTTGCACTTACTAATGATGGATCTATTTTAACTATGGGTGATGATACTTATGGATAATGTGGATTAGGATCTAATAATAGAAGCACAGCTCCACCATTTTATGAATAAAGAATAAGAAATCCAACTAAAATAGAAAATTTACCTAAAATAAATAAAATTATATGTGGATCTAATCATACATTATGTATAAGTGCAGAAGGATCAGTTTATGGATGGGGCTCTAATTCATAAATGCAATTATCTCATTCAGAAGAATTTTCAAGAGTAGGAGAACCATTAATAGCTGTTTATAATCCATTAAGAATTTCTGCTTTAATGGATAGTAATAATTAAGTTTTAGATTTGGCAGCTGGAAATGAATTTAGTGTATTTGTAACAAAAAACAAATAAAATTCAGAAACTGAAGTATTTGCTTGTGGTCATAATATAAGAGGATAATTAGGTTGTGGATTTGTTAGACATATAAGTGATATTGTTAAATTAGAAGGATTATCAAATTTTAAAATAAATATTAATGGTAAATAGGAAAATGTAGAAGTCAAATAGATTGAATGTGGTTATAATCATTGTATGGCATTAACAAATGTAGGTGCTATCTTAGAATGGGGTGATAATGAATATGGATAATTAGGAAATAAAAAAAGGTATTATATTTAATATTAAAATTAAAGATCATTCACAGATAAACCTATAGTAGTATCATAATTTGTTTAAAATAAGGTTGCAACAATATCATGTGGTAGTAATAGTAGTGGAGTAATTATTTAGTAATGATAGAGTATATTAAATCAATTCATTAATTCTAAATAAATATAATTATAAAAGTGATATCATCAATAACTGAATCATCATCTATTGTCCACATTCTATAAGCAACTCTCATTAATTCTTCACTAGCCCCTTCAATATTATTTTATTAGTAGTATTTTCCAATAATATCAACAACAATTTAATTATCTAAGAATTCCCATACTCCATCTGAGGCAATAATTATAAATTTATCATTCAATCCTAATTAATATTCAATAATATCTGGAACACTACTAACTCCAATAGATTAGGCTACTTAATCTCCTAAACTTCTACTCATAGCTAAACCTGGATATTATGTTCCATTTACCCAAACTCTCATAGGTCCAATGGAATTACCTAAAATATATATAATAATAATACCATTTTAATCATAGAATGTATCTACTTTACCTCCTGATGATATTACTCTGTATTACTCTTTTTTAATAGTTAATTTATGATCAATTGATAATTGATAAGGTTTAAATTTTGAACCATATCCATTATATTTACCAATGACTGTTCTACTATCACCAACATTAAATGAATGAATTTTACCATTTTCTTACAATAATATTCCATTTAATGTAGAACCACTAAAGTTTGTATCAAATGATTATTTGTTTACATTAATAGAAGTATTTTAGATAGATTTCTAAAGTGTTTCTTTAATTTAGTGTGATAATAATTATAATTTATCTTTTTGTATATTATTTGGTAAATTAGTTTAAATGAAATTGGATACTAAATGTCCATTTTAACCATGTCCATCACAAACAAAAAATAAATGGAAATTTTCAATGAAATTGGTTTAACAATAAAAAATATCTTAGTTTACTTTACTTGGGTTATTAGCTATTTAACCTTATCTTGTTTTATGAATATATTTTAGATTAAATTGGAAAGTATCTTGTGATTCAAGACTACATAAAGAAGCGGTTGATCTATTTTTATTATAGGTTTCATCTGTTTTTAATATGTTTATTTGACTTTGTACTCTTCTTTCTGGAATTGAAGATTCAGGGTTAACCTTTAGTGTTTAAGTGAGATATTTACTT